TATATATATATATATGATTTGCTCAGGCTACGCTGCCTTTTGGTGAGGATTTTCCAGGTTTTTGAAAAAAAAAAAAACGAACAGAATCTGGAGGCACACAGATGGCCACAACACAGAGCTTTGTCTCATCACAGTTTAAATGATTTTTATACACTGGGGCTCTAATGATCCACTAAACTAGAGGGTCATCAAAACGAGGCATGAGGGGTTCTGCTAGAAATCCTTTTATTTCTAGTTTAGTGTGAGGAGTTTTGAGTCTGGTTTTAAGTCAGCCCCCCATCTGAGACACTCTGTGACCCGACAGTTTTGTCCTCATCAGTAGGTGTGTTGTTGTTGCTGCTTGTGTCACAGCATGAACTAATCTTAACACAGTCTCCTCTGCATATTATTCTAAGGCAAATGTGGGATTTTTTAAACATATAATGAAAAGGGTGGTTTCTAACCTGATCGTTTATGGACCTTTTCACTAAAGTAGCTTTTGAGCCCATCACCTGTRAAACAATAAATAATAAATAGTGGTCAAACTGTGTTGTTTGTTTATGACACTCAATTGCAATTTACCAGAGTCAGACTGTGGGCTCTTTATTTTGCAGAAAGCTCTCCAGAATGCTAAATGTTGAGTTCCACCACAAAACAACGTTTTGTTTAGTCTACAGCAGGACTTGCAGCTTCCGTGCGGCTTTGCTTTGCTTCTGCATATCTCATAATGCTCTTCATCTTGTGTTTAATGTTCTGCATTGCAGGCATTCATGACTTTTAAGCAAAGGAGATGTGCAAAACATTAAACAAGGTTCCATTTTAGTATCTAATCAGCTGCCTTAATTTTGTTGCTTGCATCGTCAGTAACACAAGYATCAACTTTGCTTTCAATGTGCCACAGAAAGTTAACTCTTGTGCCAGACGGGAGCTTTTCAGTCACAGAAAATCACTCCAATAAGTTGGAATGTAGTTTCCAGTCAATGGCATAGATACGTAGCTGGTGGTGGTGTTTGATGTGTAGCAGTCTGTTGTGAGGCAAACAGCAGGAACATTCTTGATCTTTTCATGGAGCTCTGCTCCTTCAGGTTTCACAGCATCTTTTCAGAAACAGTTAATCTTTTTCAGTAGAATTGTTGGGTCTAGAGTGTTTGGGTATAAGGTCTGAAGTCACTGTCTTCAACGATGGGAAATAGTTAGAATTCCTGTGCAATCATTTTGATGAGAGCTTCATCATTGTTGCTCTGCTTTTGAGGTGGTTTCCTAAAAAACATATGCATAAATGACTGCCTGGGCTTCCTTTCTTGTGGTCGAGCTGCTGCAGTAGACAAGCTATGGATCTGTATTTGTACCTGCAGATGTTGTTGCTGCCTTCAGCTGCTGCTGTGTATTGTATCTCTCACAAAATAACAGAAGGTGCTTATTTTTTACATGCCTCTTATTGTTCAATATGCTTCCTCCATGTAAAGATATCAGTTTTTTTAATTTTTTTTAATTTTCTGTCCAGACATCTGTGATTGGTTTACTGCAATAAATTGCATCCAAGTATCAGGTAAGGGCAAGGAGGAAGAGCAGTTGGCCTCACCTACCAATCATATGAAGAAAATCATATCCCAGATTTCAATCAAGCCATTCACATTTGGGATGTGGTGGAACATGACGTGCATCTGACAAATCTACAGCAACAACTACATGATGAAAACATATCAGTATATCTATCTTTCTGTTGAATAAAGGTATAAATAATTAAGATATTTCTGAAGATAAAAGTGGGTAAAACACAAGATGTACTTAATAAAGTGTGCATTAACAGACTCATCTGAGTTTGCTGTTTTTCCAGTCTTTAACCAAATAAGCAACTCAACTCATCTGAGTCTGTTTTTCAGACATTCAACTGCTTTAATTAAGTTTTTTATGATGATTTGTCATCAGCACACATGCTTCATGCTTAACGGCTTCCTGTAGAAAAAAAAGCAGGTTGATAGGAGACGATTCTTTTTAGCATTCAAAGTCCATGGATTTTCATTTTATTGTCCACAGTCAGCTGTGCGTGCCATTAAACATTAACCACCACTGCAGGCTCTCATAGAAGATTAACTTTTCACCTTTAGCTATCAGCACTTCTGCTGAATTATCTTCTGTGATAATTGTGCTTAATGGGTAACAGTGGTCACAAGAATCAGGAGGGGACAGCATACAGATTTCTAAGATTATAAACTGATTGTAAGAAATAAAAACCTTACTGTTATTTTTTGTATTATTGTAGATCACAGCTTCAAAACTTCAAAGTCTACTTTAAAGATTCATGTTTACATCTGAAATCATCAATTTGGAAATATTCAGAGATATTGAAACAATTGACTATTACTTTCTTTTTGTGTGTGTGTGTGTGTGTGTGTGTGTGTGTGTGTGTGTGTGTGTGTGTGTG